ATACAGATCAAAAACTAATGCACTAGTTCCAGTTTCCAAACCAATAATAGCTAAATGGACGTATAAATAGGAACACCACAGGTGTTCTGCTGAGCACAAGCCACTATGAATATCAATTTATATTGTATGAAGCATAGCTGGAAATATTGGTAATAGAAACTGTGGTACAGGAGGTTAACAAGACGCCAAGCAGGTAAGACTTAAAGCTCTTAATAATGACCAAAAAAAAGTGTTTTTTACAAAAAACGTTAAGAAAATAAGCTTTGAAATTCATCAGCAGTGCATTTTAATGGGCAAGGTTTCCAAAGGTCCCAAGGAGACACTTCAGTCTCACCAAGCTTCAATGGCAGATGGACAAAGTTCCCTGAGATGCTTTGAAGCATCGTGTGAATTTCTCCACATCTCAGTTTTGAAGGATTTCAAGAGCAAGAGCGCAACCGCATTTGGCTTTGAGTAATGCTATGTGCAAACCGATGCTGGAAATACTCAGCGAAAGGACTCCAGATGTCACACCACGGCTCAGCAATGGGCGAGGAGCCGCTTGCTGACCTGAGCGAGGCTGCAGCCCTTTGCACCCCCGTGGGTTTGCCCCAAGATCCTTCCTCAGTATTTTTATCATCCATATTTTGGTTGGTCTTGGAGAGGGGCCACAGCCAACTCGTGCTGTGAGATGATGCTGCATCATGCAGGTGTGGAGGCTGTGATGTGGTTATGACTTGGGGACACATTTTCCTGCATGCCTCACCGGTGGTCCCGGGCTGCCAGGAGCATGGGAGCTGCATGGGGACTCTGCGGGGGCTCACCCCCAGTCTGCCCTGCATGCGGGGCCAAGGGAGCACAACGTCTAATTAAAGAAAGGCTGCCTGCTCTGGGGTGCCTCCCAGCTCATCGCTGGCATTTCCGTGATTGACAAACAGGCAAAAATATATTTATTCAAGGATTATCTATATTGAAAACTGGACGCAGGATTCAGTCTTTGTAAACAGTGCAGTAATATCTGCTGTTTGAACAAAAGGAAGGGTATACTTTCCTTCCATTTAAAGCACCAAAAGCTCCGATGTTTAAGTGAAAAAGGGAGATATTTGGTTTTATTGATCCTGCTTGCTGAAGATTTTGGGTTTTTTAAATAAGATCTGTGACTAAGGGAGCAGTGGGTTGATTTTCAGTTTATTGGAAGGGTTATTACAAAGCACACAGCATATAAGTTGAGAGATGCTGCACAATTAGGAAAATTCAGAATGATCCAGCATATTTCCTCATAGCGAGAAAAGTCACTTTGATATATTGAGGACCCAAAATGTAACACTGCATTGCTCTAAATACTAATTTTATTTTGAAAAGCCACATTTGAAGAGAGCACTTTGTTACAGATGGGAACACAGCTACTTTCATGGACCTAAATTAGGCTACAGAAAAATAGCTCCTTCAGAAATGAACACCCTTATTGATAGTTTCACTGTTGCTCAGACAGATCTTTCCCTACTACAAATAATCCCATAGATGTTCAGATATCAAAGGACCAAGTCAGTACATTAGCAATGCGTGTTGGTCAAGGGATGAACAATACACAGGATAAAAGCCTTTCCCCCAAATATTTGTCAGTTAAATCTATTGTTTATGCAAAAAACTGAACTGGCTGGCCCCCGAGGTAGGTCTTTTTATCCACAGAGCAGAAGCAGAATGAGTAAATGAAAATTTCCCCCATCATTGATGTGCTTTTACTGTGCCCTGAAGGACAAGACCAACAGCACAAGGGTCTCATTTTGGCCAGCTCAGCACAGGACCCCTCTTTTCCTAGGACTTAGTGGGACTCATGCACGTGCTTGGGGCTGCTTTCCAAAATGAGACAACTGGCCAAACACTTTGCCAGACCCCAGCTAGCCTTGAAAGCAAAGCTCCATTTCTGCTTTTTCATCCCTCTTCTCTGAATGGATGCTGCCAAAACAGTGCTGTGTCAAACCGGGAAGTGGCCAATGTACAGGTGGCAGTGCCATCACCCTCACCCCCTTTCACCACCACCGCAGTGGACACCAGCCTTGGTGTTGCTCAAGGAGACCCCACAAGCCATCCCCACCGAATAGTGCCTTCTCGGTGTCAGCACCTTTTGTGATTTCTCTGGCCTTCCTACCATAGGACGCTGTCTGGTTCTGGGACAGTCTCTTTTTACACCACCTTCTACCCATCAGGCATGGCTTGCTCTCGTGCCCTGTGTTCTTTGTTATGTTTCTTCTCCCTTGTTTTTTTGGTCTGGCCCCTCCATCCAATTTGTCTTGTAGCTACTTATACCTTGAAGTCAAAACCCATCATGGCTGATATACAAGTTTCATTGCCCGCTACACCTGCCTGGGTCTTCTTTTGGGATGGGAAAAGAGGGTTGTCTCAGGGAACAACTATTGTATCCAGAAGCTGTGGACTCTAGCTCTGCCTCCAAATAATGCAGCAGACAAGCAAATCATACTCCCTTTCTGCCTTGATTCCCCAGGGTGTATAAAAATGGGGTTTTACCTCACACCAGCATTGTGAGAATTAATCAATGTTTATGAAATGCTTTTAATACATAAAGGATGACCTGATCATGCTTATACTATGATTTCCAATAATGTAATTCCATTGACATCCCAATCCATTTTTACACTAGGATGAACATGTTCAGAATGAGGCAGAGAAATATCTCTAAAGAAAAGGCAGGTTCTTTGCAAAGAATTTAAATTAAATAGTCATTATTACCTTGTAATTTATGATCTGAATAAAATCCCCTATTTTGGTAAATAAAGCTCAAATGATTTCTTGCGATGTGCATATTGCTAAAATTCAAATATTGTCGAACATATGTTGTTTTTCTGTTTAGCTGCTTTTTTGTCTTCTTTGATCAAATACACAGGTTTTTTTTTAAAGAAGTGTCAAATGTTGAAAACAACACATATCTTACAAGTTTCCATCTGGACAAAGATATCGTTGTTTAATTTTTTACTTGCCTTAGAAGATGGTCAGAGGCATAGTACTGTTAGCTGAACTCAATTCTATTTCTTAAGCTTGCATTATTAATTTTGCATCATGATAAGATATTTACTCAAAGAGGCAGCTAGTTCTTTCCTTTAAAACTGATGTTATTTGCAGGAATGACCACACTTTTTTTTCCCCAAATGAAGTTATGCAAATCTGATCGACTAAAGTAAATGTTTCATAAAACCAATGACTGTTTAAATTGTGGGACTAAATTGTTTGTATATAAATATTACCTTTTATATTCCATTTGAGTTTTATGTAGATGAACACATTACTTTAATGACCTGCATTTACAGAGGGAGACAGGGAGAGTCTGACTCTGAAATCCTCAGCAGCCAGATGGCTGCCTTTTCTTGCATGAGATTAAAAGATGTTTCTCATTCACAGCCCTGCTTCGGAGGCAAATTAATATAGCCAGCTAAATTACTTGTTTTTTTGGAATAAAATTTAAAGAGAACTTTTTAAAGCAATTGGTGTCACAGGTTCCTAGAGCAGATTGCTCTCCAGGTACAGCATGCTGGTTTTAAACATTCAGTAATTAATGGAAAGTATTCCGTGTTAATTGACTGCTTCAGGAAAGGGAAATATAATGACTCCTTATTAATCATGAAAAGAGACATACAGCACAGAGGCACTGCAATAATTGCACTAACGGTTGAGAAATGTTAATTAATGAAAAGAACAATGATGTAAGAAATTAGCTACATAATGCTTGCTGCTGGTGGAGATTGTGCTTTAAACACATTATTTAGCATGGCAGCCACTGGATGTTGCCTTAAATAGCAGGCACCTCTTACCCTTTCCTTCAGTCAGCTACGGAGTTCCAAATGTTGCCGGTGTTTTGGTTTTTAATGAGCCAAAAGACACTCTCCAAAACTACATTTTCTGAAGCATTTTCAGTTTGAACTCCTGAACTCAAAACTATTCAAACAGATTGACAGTGTTTGACTTATATAAAAATTTTATGCAAGTGTAAGACAGCATGTTAGTGTTTGTATGGTGGGGAACAACTTCTTGTTACATGGGCTGAGCTATATAGGTTTGCCAAGAAGATAACTGCATCATGATCTCTTTCCCCTTTTTAATTTTCCCACTTTTTAACCAATTACCTGTCCCCTGAAGAATTTAGAGAGAGCATCCTGTCAATTTGTGCCTAGCATGATGTAAAAATTCATAGAATATGAAAACGCAGAACAGTTCTGGCAACTAATCCAACAGCAATATATGGGTGCTCACAGACATTAACAGATTGAAGGCCCCAAGGTTTCCACCATCACTCCATTGCACCTTTAGGACAGCGACAAGCTGACACATATCAATCACTCTGAACACTTTAGAGCAGGTCAAACTATTGGTTGCAAATAAATTACATAAAAGTGTAGCTCTTCAGGACCAGGATTTGATTCTTATGAATGTCTTCATACGTGCATGATCATTTGTGCAAGGCAATGTCAGCCCATGAGGGTATTGAAAATTATTCACAACAATTTTGTGGGAATTTTGGCCACCCAAGTTACATGTTGTCTTGGCTGCATAGCTAGGGGATGGTAGTAATATACGACAAAGGGTAAATAAAGGTAGAATAACAAAAGCACTCATTTTAGCTCTACCATTGGAAGCGTAAAATTATAGAAGGAGAAAAAAATTGAAATTCTGCTAAAGACATGCTAAATGAACATTCACTAAACACAAAATGCTTTTATAAAGAATAGCTCTCAACAGGAGGCCTCTGTTTGCAATAACACAAGACAGAAATACATCCCTTAAGTCAGTGGCATCACAGCAATCTAAAACCATCGTAGAGGGGGAGTCAGTCCACAGGTTTGTAAAAACCCAACAGTGCAGTGCTTCATGCATCATAGGGCAAGGACAGGAATCGTTTCATCGTTCATCCCTCCAACCCATGTGCTGGCCTTTGCTGATTTTCCCAGGGCAGCTCTCTTGTGGCCATTCCTCCACCCATGTGTTTTATTGCTCCTGAATTTCTTTTCCAGATGGAACATCCTTGGGCTCCAAGGTGCTCTCCTCAGCTCCTTCATCGAACCCATGTACTTGCACAGCATCATTGTGGGAAGCCTCTATCACACTGGTCACCTTTCCCGGGTAATGAGCCATAGAATAGAAGACATTGGTCAGCTGCCAGCTTCATACCGGCGCAATCAGCTGCTTCTCAGTGGTAAGCAGACACCTGCCTGCAAGACAAATGATCCCCTCTCCCATCACTAATTGTGCTGGTCACCAACAGGAAAGTTTACTTGTTTGTAAGTAAACCATTAGCTCATGCCTTCTTTTTTTCCTGCAGAGTATGAATTCGTAGAATGAAGAAACTGATGCATTTAAATCCAGTTCCTTTGTCACATGCAGTGACCACAAAAAGGATTGGTGGTGGCTAGAAGCCGACTAGGAAAACAAACACTGAACAAAGAATTCTCAAAGTGGAAAAAAGTGTATGACTAAAAGATTTCTAAAAAACAGGGAGGAAGTTTTCAGTATATTTTTGGTTTAACTCTCTCCCATCCCACTCTCCCTCACCCAGTGAACACACAAGTATGTGGAGTCAGGAGAACCAGCCCTCGCATCTCTGGCGCCATGCATGCAGCCTCACCACCAGGGCCCCTTACTCGGAGCCCCTGCTTCTTCAGGACTTGGTAGCCATCGTGTTTGGAGCAGATGGCCATAAGAAAAAGGCTGTTGGTTCATGCAGAGGACCTTGCCTGCTCAGCAGACCTCAGGGAGGCATTGCTGCCAGCTGAGGAGGCTGCTGCCTGTCATGTGAGCACCTCTGTGGTTTCCAGCTATCTTTGGGGCTACTCTCACTGCCAGCACTTCTCCTTCCCAGCCCCTGTCTCTACCCCAGGTCTCTGGTCCTTTCTTCTCCATCCCCCCGACTCCCACTTCCTTAACCCCCAGCCAGGCAGCAGCTGTCTGGCCTCATCCCAGCAAAATCGCACAAAGTCTTGAATGCCTTCAGATCCTTATGAGGCACGTGGGTGCTAAGGGCCACCAGTTCTGTACAGGATTAGACCCTTAGACTCTCATTCTTCAGGAGGATTCCCTGAGACACCAATATGATGTCAAGGATACAGAGTTGGGAGGTCAGGATACTTTAGTGGAGTACACCATTGGTTTTCAAAGTCCTCTTTCAAGGTCCCTCAGTCAGAAGAGTGCTGTTTTATCCCTTATTTCATGTTCTTTTTTTTTTTTTTTTTAATGTGTCTTTGTGAGAAAATTAGTTTGGCTGAGGCAGAAGTGATAGTTTAGCCACTGGGGAAATTCTCAAGTTCTGTGTGGTTTAGTACATCTGGCAAGTGTAATGTGCACATACATGTTATGAGGTGAATAGGTCAAAAGGTTTATCCTTATTTGAACAGCTTAGCTCAATTTTTTTAACTCTTCAGCGCAGCTAGCCAAAGACCGTGCCATGCAAGTATGCAGGAAACTGTGCTACACACTCCTCCACTCTATGTCCCCTCCTGCCCTGGTCCAGCATGGGCATGACTCAGCCCCCTCTTCCTTCCCACGCCACATCGTGGGAGAGAAGAAAGGACTCGCAGCTGGTCAGGAAAATCTCCCCATTTCCCAAACCTGGCTGTTATTTTGGCAACACACCCCTGTTTGCCAGAAGCCTCTGCATCTCCCACTGGGGAAGCTGATTTCATCCTGTGCCAGCCCTAAGTCATTATAAGTCCACCCATACCTTACGATCAAAATCACACCCACTTTCACTGTGTCTGCAAGATGTACAGGGAAACCCACTTGAACTGCTGAAGGACTGAAAACACAGTAAGTGATTTAGTAAGAGATTTAACCACAGAACAGCTATTTCTTTGCTGGGTTGACCTTGCAGACTAAAAGTAACGGCTCACACTTGGCCCAAGTGTGTATTTACGTCCAAGAGTCATTGTCAGAGATTTCAAGGGAGTTAGAAATGTGTCAGAGGGGCCCCTGTGTCACTTTAAATATCTGCATGTTTCATAGCTGGCTTCCTCCTTCCCGGAGACTTCTGTTTGGAAAAGCTTTCGCTTTGTTTTTGGTTGTGTTTGTGGGTTTTCTTCAGCCCAGGAGAAGCAGTGGGAGGAATCTATCTCTCTCTACATTATTTTTGTCTCTAAAGCCATTATTTGTAATCTTCCCTCCCCCACAAATCCCAGGGAGCCAATACTGCTTAAAACTTATATTGCTGAGGCTTGTGCTGCATTTCTCTTACCTGGAAAACTGTGCCAACAGTGTATCCAGTGACTAAGGAGCTGGGCACCTAACAAAAGCCATACTGAAGGCATTAGAGACCAAACCTCAGCAATCTCAGCCAGGCAACTCCACCTCCCACAGTCGTCTCAGAGATCAGGCCAGCCAGGGATTTCAAATTGCAGGAATCCTTCAATTACAAGGATGCCAATTATTTTGTCACTTGGTCATAGCAGTACAAACATTTCAATGGAAAGGAGAGTCATGGTGTGTGATAAGATATCCTGAGATAACTCCTTGGCCCCACAGAAAAATAAACAATGAGGTTTTCCACTTACACCAGTCCCAGCCAGATGGAAATCCATTCATTCACTGGGATTACTCTTGGGCGTATTTTTTAGAGGAAAGAAAATCCCTGTGTCAATTTTATTTCCTGTTCTCTTAAGGTTGAGACCATTCTAAAGAGTATCCTGAAGAGGCATGAGGTTTTGCTAGGAGAGAGGGGAGAATGAGGACAGATTTCAGTTCATATCCCACAGTATTCAAGTTCATATTATTTGTACAAAGACTTTTCCTTCCAGTTTCTACGGTCTCCTATTGTACTCTTTGTTGTGTTGTTTTTAAGGAGGATATTTTACATAAAAGAGAGAAAATGATCAAGATTACTTGGGTGTTACTTTTCAAATAAAATCAGAACAATTATTTGTCAAAAGAAAAACATGAAAAAAGTGTTAAAAAAGGATCAAAAACAACAATCAGAGAATATATCTAGGCTCTGTATTTACATCTGTCGTGAGTCTCGTTTTTTTTCTTTAAAGCCTCTTCTCTTGCATTCAGAAACTGATGTGAAAATATCTTCTACTTACCTAAATACGTGTACTTATATATGATAGCTGGGAAGAGAAAGCATGAAAGCCAAACCAGCACGGAGGGTTTTCCAGGCAGTGGGGCAAGCTCCTGGCTCTCACAGTAGTCCGCCGAGAGCAGAGGGAGGCCCCAGGCTGGGCAGGGGTGTACAGCCCCCATCTGATGGGCACCCACAGCCTGCTCTGTCCTCCGTGTGGCCTTTCCTTCTTTTCCTCTGGTCAGTGTTTTCGCAACATTTTTATTTATTTAGTGGCCTGTGGCAACTTTGCACAGCAGGGTGTTTGCTGTTGTGTTTTTTGGCACTCAAGTCCTCTAAGCTTTTGGGTGCTATCTTGACAGAAAGTGGTGGATAGTGTCAAACAGCTGATTTTTATTTCTTTGCATCTTGTTCTGTGAGGAGGCGTTTGAACAGCACCAGACAGCTATCTGATTTTCAAGTTCTCAGTGTATATCCTGTTGCCTAGGTGAACTGGCGGTTTAGATGCAGACTGATCTGTTTTATCGGGGCAGGGGGGGGGAATTGAAAGAGGTATTAATATGACATGAATGTATTTACAAACCCTGGGCGAGGTTATGACTTAGCTGTAATTCTCTTCTACTTGCTAGCGAGTTCAGTCCCAGTGACTGACATGATTTCTGCAATTCCAGCTTTGCCACTGATACAAAGTGGTTGTACTGTATAATTTTTTCCCTTCAATGGCCACATTTCTCTCTCTCTGTGTGCTCAGTCCCATCTGGCTCTTGCAGCTCCCCCCCAGGGCAGAGGTGACCACACTGGAAGGAGCAGAGGGAGCATGTCCCTCACCAACATTGCTTCCTATGGTGCTGAGAGGCCCCAGGCAGCAGGCAGGAGTTGCCTGCAGAGGCAGCGTCTCTGCCACGGCTGACCCTGCACAGCCCTCCACTTCTCCCTGGTCTCATTCAGGGGCTTAACAAGCTCAGCATGTTTAAATGGTTCCCATTTACCATTTAAATGATTCCCACTAGCTCCCATGTCCTACCGTTCTGCCTGAGATCAGCAGATGCATATGGCGTGCAAGAAGGAAAGCATGGGCTTTGATCTCTCTTCTTTAATCTCCTCCTCTCTGAATAGCCCATATCACTACCTCTCCATCTCTGCAAAAGTTCTTGAAACCCTTCAGCGGAAAATGCAAAGGACCTTTCTCTGTTGCCATCCACCCAGGAGCAATGAAAGCAGGTCCCCATCAAGCTGTGCAAACCATGACCTATTGCTGGAGCTGCTGCAGGCAGGGGTTTTGGCAGGAGCTGCTGTTTGGAAACAGAGATCCAGCCCTGGCACTGGCCTGTGCCGGGGCTGCCGTGCCAGGCAGCCCCTGCCCACCAGTACGGTACTCACCTGCCTGCTCACCACAGTGGCTTTTGTTGTCCAGGTTTGCTGGCTAGTGGCCCACACAGCAAGTTAATATAGAGGGACTCAACAGCTGGACCCAGACATAGCATCCAATGCCCACATTTTCCAAAATATTCAAACTGCTTCAGGTCACTCTATCTTTTCCAGCCTTGGGAGCTCCCAGTGTTGATTCTTTACTCAAAAGCTCAAAAGCACTAATGAGCAGGGCAAGGCAGAGCTCACTTGGTTGCATTTATCCTTGCTGGAAAATAAACCAACCATTTTCTTTATTCCTCTTATTTCCTAGCAAAGACTAATCCTTCCCTGGTTTCAGGTACAAGAAATGAGAAAGCGACAGGAGTCATGGAAAGGTTGAACTACACTAAATGGTTAAGAAGAGACCGGAATTTACCTGATTAAAAATAACTCTCTCTCATGTACACGCCCACACCTGACCTTGCAGACCTGATCTGCATTTAGAGCCAAGGGAGATCTCACCCATAGAATCATAGAATCATAGAATAGTTTGGGTTGGAAGGGACCTCTAAAGGTCATCTAGCCCAACTCCCCCTCCAATGAGCAGGGACATCTTCAACTAGATCAGGTTGCTCAGAGCCCTGTCCAACCTGACACTGAAAGTTTCCAAGGATGGGGCATCTACCACCTCTCTGGGCAACCTGTGTCAGTGTTTCACCACCCTCATTGTAAAAAGCATCAGGTTGCGCACAGAGCCCGCCAACCTGACACTGAAAGTTTCCAAGGATGGGGCATCTACCACCTCTCTGGGCAACCTGTGTCAGTGTTTCACCACCCTCATTGTAAAAAGTTTCTTCCTTAGATCTAGTCTAAATCTACCCTCTTTTAGTTTAAAACCATTACCCCTTAGCCTATCACAACAGGCCCTGCTAAAAAGTCTGTCCCCATCTTTCTTATAAGCCCCTTTTAAGTATTGAAAGGCTGCAGTCAGGTCTCCCCACAGCTTTCTCTTCTCCAGGCTGAACAACCCCAACTCTCTCAGCCTGTACTCATAGGAGAGGTGTTCCATCCCTCTGATCATTTTTGTGGTCCTCCTCTGGACCCGCTCCAGCAGGTCCATGTCTTTCCATGTAGGCAGAGGACTCCAGTATGTGATTCAGATGTCCAAAACTGGCCATGTGAATGACACAAAGGTCATGCAGTCACACTGAAAACATCTTAATTGTTGCTGTCTGAAATTAAATAAGGCACATTCCGCTTAAAGATATCCAAAATATTGCCATTAGGACACTGACTAACTCTTGAAGAGATCGTTGCACCCATACAGGTAGGAATCTTACAGGCAGACACAAGGTGGGGTGCAAGAGTTTTCTGTGTAGCTCTGTGATGTCTACAAGATCATTATTAACTTGGATCTAATAAACTCTCTGTGATGATTAAATGTGTGTTTTGCATTTTCTTATCCCTGTTTGTACCCCCTACAATCCAGTGTTCCCATCACAGCAAAGGCCCCAGCAGTTAATAGCAGATAAATACGCTGGACCACGGAAAGCTCACCTGGAGGAACTCATGGCAAAAGCACTTTGCTGCTTAGTTCCTTTTAAAGACCAGTTATCCCATTAAAGCCTTTCTGAAAGATTTCACTCAGCAACCGTAACACTGATGTCAATATCACGCACTACAATCTAATGGCTTTCCTTAGGCTAACAAAAAGTTTGCCTGCAAGGTGGAAAAAGATCTATCGGAATTGCTAAATTATGTCTCTCTGACGTATTCGGACTGGTAACATTTAACTGATGGTGACAACAGCATGTGCAGTGCACAATGTCAGTGTGTTTGCTCAAGGAGGTCTCGTGCCACAACGACCCACCACATGTTAGCAGCCTCTGAAGGTTTTGAGCACTGGATGTTATTGGTGTCCTTCTCTCCTGCCAGGGGTTAGTCACGCTGATGCTCGGCAGCCCGGAAAATCTCCCGGCTTCAGTGTGAACTGGATTGTGGGGAGCACCGACCTGGAGGTTATCAATGCCACGACGGGGAAGAGGACCTGTGGGAGTCCCTCACGGCTCTGCAAGCACATGTTCTTCACTCGGTGGGCAAAGCTTCATGGCAAGGTATGCACTGACAGGACACTGCCGCCAGCCCTAGGTGGGCTAGTCCTTACCCCGGAATCAACCCTGTTTTAGTAATTTCATGATGAAGCTGCAGCCTCCACAGGTGTCCTGTGTCCCTGCCTTCGAGGCATCTACCCCACTTCATTGTTCCACAGGGGTTTAGACTCCCAAGATAAACCGCTCCCAGTCTCACCCAAGTTAGCTGACTGAAGCAGGTGCTATGGATTGCCCACTCCCCTCTTCTTCCCCACTCTCCCAGATGTGCTGATAAATCCATACAGTGATACAGCTGCTCCTCACAGGGTGAGTGGCCAGGTGCTGAAGGCTCTCCAATTTCATTATGCTCGGCAGCAGTACAATTTAATGGCATTAAAACTACAGGCTGTACTTAATTAAAAAGGCCACCACCCCATGACAGCCCTGCTTTCTCTAGGGAAGATGGCCATGGACTCCCCTTATTTGAAATGGCACCAAAATCAGCCCACCAAGGTGGTGAGCCTGATCCCACCACTTCCAGGAGGCACAGGAGGGAAAATACAAAGTGTCTCTTCAGCCCACCTGCTTTCACTGCTAGAGTATTAATTTACTATAAGGAGGCTTATCAAGAATTGTCCTGCAGTCCATGTAGAGTGGAAGATGAGGACAAGAAAAAATTATTTTATTAAGTGCCAAAACCTTTTTACTATTGGGAAATGAGTGGAAAAGAACAAGGCAGAGTGACAGCGGGAAAGTCTGGAGCCACTTCCACCAACAAAGTCATTCGGGAAGGCAAAGGGACAGGCAGGGTGGGGACATATGAGGACAAGCCCAAAGGGGTTGTTCTGCTCTGCAGGAGACCCCAGGGAAAGAAGCTGGGGGGC